TTTTTAGAGAGGTGGCCACAAAGTGATGCACACGCTGCAGAAAAACAAAATCTGACCCAAGTATTTTGGTCTAGTTTCTAGTGCAAATATCTTAGTCAGTGATTCTTGAGAATAGGGACAAAATGGGTTTTAATTTTCCCATATATTTTTTTTTATTATTTCTCAACCTTATGTATGCAAATATGACAAATAATGTTTAGGAAATGTAAAGATGCTAAGGTGCAGGCTCCCAGTTACAACATTTAAAAAAAAAAAATTTAATCCACCTGATCCAGAACTTTGTCATCACCATCTGACAAAAATAAATATAAAATAATTTTCAAAATACCCTATTAGTTATATTTTTACTCATTTTACAGACAAATGCTTGTCAAGAAACAGATGAAATATTATTTAAAACAAAAAACAAAAAGTCCATCAGACGGAGTTGACACAGAACTGAAGGTGGCGACAAACTAGTGAGTAAAATGAAAAATTTGATACATGTGAAGTAATGCAATTTATGTAAAATACATTAAAATGAATTAATTGCACATTTAAGTGAGATTTGATAACAATTTCACTGAAAGAGTCACAAAAACTCTGATGGAGTTGACATCTGACGGAGTTCACAAAATGCCAAACTACCTCAATTTATATGATGTTATTCTGAAGGAGGCCATATTGTAGCTCATCAGGTCCATGAAATCTTCACAGTAAACCAAAATTAAGCTTTTATTTCACAAAATTTCATCAAAGTTTTGAAAATTGTCAGTTATGGAGTTGACACATCATGTTTGTGACAAGCAACTTAGGAATAAAACAGAAGAAAAAACTAAAGAATAACAAGTTAACCAGAGCTAACTAGCCCACTTAGCAAAGAAAGAGAAAAGACGACGTCATGGGGTCCTAAGAAGTTCTGGTGTCCCCCAATAATGCCTGATTTTTTTACATTCTTCTCATGCCTGACGGTGTTGCCAAAACTAGGGACAAATTTCAACGGAGTTGGAAAATATCTAAAAATTATTTTTAATTCTAGTTATTGATACTTTTATAATTATTTATATGACTACTTATACTTAATTGTCATAATATATAATTGTAGTATTTCTGTAATTGTTTTAAACTATTATAATGTATTGAGTTCTGCTCCTGGACAAGGGAATTTACAGGCATCATCCACCGACTATGTTAAAAAAAATATTCAGCAAACACAAGAAAAATATACATTGTTGTGCTCACATGACCCAGGTTACTTTAGTCAGATATTTGAAAAAATATATTTTGTGTATATTTTATTCAAATTTGGTGCTTTATCCATAGGACGTGTTTTGTCCCTATTCTCAAGAATCACTGAAATATTAAATGTTGGGTTTAAGCTGTTTAAGCCCAACTTTAATGTGTTTGAGACCCCCATGATGACTTTTCTCATGCTCCATGCTGGGTTCACAGCGTGTTTTCTGTAAGGGTGACAATCCTCTTCACTAAATTCAACCCATATCGGCAACACAAACACAAACCGTAACATCTTTTTAGCCAAGTAAGTTGACACTCAGCTTAGAGCTTAGGCTTTTTTTATTTTATTTTATTTTATTTTTTTTAATCACTCAGCTTTTACCAACATGGGTTGTATTTATAGGTCCCTTTCAAGAAGTCCAGGGTTATTTTGCGCCTAAAGTGAGAAAAATCAATATTGTACTGTCGAACTCATGTTAAATCTGCACCTGCAGACTATCAGTAATATCTTTGGTTGTTTGTGTGACATTGTGCTCTGCAGATGTTTACATCTTGGGCCCCCTTAAGTCAAATTTCAAGCCTCTCTTTTAGCAGATCGGGGGCCTGCTTCCTGTTTGAACCCCAGATGGTTGACTGGAATGTAAAGTCATTAGATGGTGCAGTTGTGGGGATGAGAGAGGGGGGCACTAGCCTGTACGCTGACGTCAATAAAAACAGTCATTTCCAACCAGTCTGCGCATTGACCGACCATTCAAAAACATTACGCACAGCACCGCGGCCGGACTACGCTCGATTACTCGACTGAAATAACCTTTTTTTCCCCCCGCAGATCCTTGGAGAGCGGACGCAGTGCGGACGATCCCACCATTGCAGGTTTTTAACCACTGAATGTTGTCTGAACATTTCTGGGTGTTGCGCGCATCATCAGTGTCATGTCTCGTCTTCCCATTCCTAGGTCAGCTCCGCCACTGCCCATCTCGTTTCCGATCATATCGCCCCATCTTCACACAATACATGCTCATTGAGAGAAAAAAAGAAAAAAAAAATAGCAACCGGATCACCAGGTTCATCATAGCTTAGACGAGCGTCGAGACCGTGTCTGCTGATCGCCTCATGCATCATCCCATCTCCGGCAACTGAGCGCTAACAATGACGCTTTTATTATCCCTTTATAAATTTTATTTTAGGCTTTTATAAATGTGATTGAGTAGGGGGTGGGGAAAAAAATCTTCGATGCATCTTCCATTTGTGTTTCAACCCCCTCTCTCCTGTCTTTTCATCTCAATCACCCCACAGATGGGGGCGCACTGAACCTTCACAGTTGGAACCTCAGATTTTCTCCATCACGTCCAGCCTGTGATCACAAAGCCCAGAATCTCATAACACCTGACAAAACTAAAGCTGCGAGCTTTTTGTCATCATCTTTTATTGTCAATGAAGAGACCCAGCCTTCAGTAATTAAACTGTTCTAATAACGGTCGCTTATCTGGCTTGAATCGCAGGGGGAAGAGGAGCATCTTGAAGGAGAATCATTTTGCTGATCACCATCACCCTGCTCTACGCTTTTAGCCTCTTTACGGTGCTGCCTTGTCTAATAATGTTCAAGCAGCATTGTACAGGGCTATGACAGCGTAGAGAGCTGCGCTGCGCTTCCTCAATGGACCCCACATTTGCTGCCAACCAGAGCCGGCCAGGAGCAGAAGCGAAATCAGCCGCTGCTGCGCCTAAAACCGCTTTACTTCTAGTATAGATGAAAAGAATAAAAAAAAAAAGTGCGTCTGCTTGAAACTCAGACGATAGTTGTCCCTTTGTAAAAGTATCTTATAGTTAATGTCTGTAAACCTTTGATGACCTAAACTGTATTTTTTTTTCCTGCATTCTTCACAAAGTCCGCAGTGTGAAAATGTAGACTTTGTGTTTCCCTTATTTTGGGACAGATGGTCTTTAATGCATGATATGTTCAGCAAGAAATATAAAACAGTTAATAAAATTAAACATAATGTATTTAAATTTTCTTATATTTTTTGCTCTCATTCTTCCCGCATCTTCAAATAATACCTGGATCAAGAATTCAGGTCAAGAGAGTAGAGCTACAGTCATTCACAAGAACACAAGATCTTGCAAGGCCTGAAAAAACAAGTTAGAGAAAATATATATATTTTTAAAAGTATTCTTATTTTTGGCATTTAAACACACAAACATGGAGCCTAAACATTATTAGAATGATTTTAGTCTAAATTAAGTTTGTTTGTTTTTTGTTTGTGTTAAATCAAGACTAAATTCATACAAGGATTTGTGTGAAACATGAGCTTCACATTTTAATTGAATTGCCCAAGTGTGCCCAGGCACAACTTGGGCAATGATGAGATTGTATCAACAAAATCTAGGGTTTAAATGTTGTTTTTGGTGGTTAAGCATTGCATCGACAAGGAGCTTTTTGAAGGGTTTTTAATGTTACTGTTTGAATTCATTTCTGTGCTTCCCTGTGAGCAAAGTTCCAGTTTGCTGCCTTCGACTGTCTGAAAATTGAGCCCTTGACTTTCACTGTTTGTCCCGAGTGTCTGTTATCCAACCGTGTCTGATATAGGATTAGTGACGAGAGATTTGTTAATTACGACGCCTCCTGACTAACAAGCTTATGTTTCCCAGAGGGCAAGCTGGTTCACAACCCTTCAGTGGATGTTTTTTTTTTTTTACAAATCAAATATGTTTCAAGGAAATCCAACTGACACGGAGACAATCAGAAAGTTTGCAGATTTTATTAGAAATTCCAGTTTTCACAATAATAATGGCCATGGAGAAAGGATCCTGCTGTGTCGTGTTTCACTGGCCGTGCTGCTGTCCATTTCAGGTTCCTGTTTTTGGTCCTGAAGTGGGATGTTTGGTTTAGGCATCACACCGTCCTCACTAGCTGCAGCTAGCACAGGGCTGCAGGCCGTTCTCGTTGCAGGAAGTGCACTTTAGGGCTTTGAAGGAGTCCGTAAAGCAGTTGCGGAACACGGACATCTTGCTGCCATGGCACATTGAGCACGGGATGAAGGCGAAGCCTCCGCAGGTCTGGCACGTCTGGGGATGCTGAACCCTCTGAGAGACGGAGAAAATTTAGTTTTAGTTTCTGGATAAAGGCTTCAAATGCCAACAGTGCAGATAAAGTCCAGGTTTAAAAGAAAGAATGGAAAAACTTTTTAACAAGATGTAATCAAATCTGTGAAAAGCAATCTTTAAAATTATGGTGTTGCTTTTTCTAAGGCAGACTTTACATCTCTTTTTGCTGGCCATACAGTGATTTCTTTCAATGCTCATTGTTTTTAAATTCAGGCAGATTTTGCAAACTGGACTATCAAATTATTTGGTTTTCATTTTTAGTTGTTCAAACGTATTCACACTCTGTACATTTTTTCACATTTTGTTACATTACATACTCTAACTTCAAAGAGTACTTTATTGGGATTTCATTTGATAGAACAACACAAAGGTTGAAGGGAAGCGGTAGGGCACGTTCTCATTGCCCGTTTGTAATTTGTTTTTCATTTGAATTGAACAAATAGGTTTTTGTTTTAACAGAGGTGTGTCTAGTTTTCTATCCACTCAGTGTGGACACAAAGCTAGCACTTTGCATTGCTTTGAACATACTGTCCCCACTGTAAATAAAGGTAGTGGCAGTATCATCCTGTGGGGAATGATTTTCTTTAACAGGCACAGATATTCAAAATACAGACTCAGAAGATGGAATACAAAATTCCACATTCTTGGAAGTATTTTATTTTTTAATTTAAAACAAAGTATCCCTTTCCTCCATTTCACAATTATGAACTATTTAAGTTTATCAAACAGGTAAATGTGACAAAATTAGAAAAGTTGGAAGGGGTTTATTATTTTCAAGGCCCTCGAAGTAATTTTTCCCCCCTCTCTCCTTAGTTTAACATTTAAAAGACAGAGTACACTGTGATCCTCTTCTCATCCACTACACAGAAAATGAGTGCATTTCCCGAAATGCCAGTCTCCTGTTGTTTCGCAAAATTAACATTCAAAATAGTTTGGTGTTCATGCTTGTAAACACACAATCACCAATGTTTTTGGACAGTTTCAGGCTAATTTTTGCATGCATGACCTTTCAGGGCGGCACCCTTCTAATTACCCTCGGGGGCTAAAAACAAAAAACAACAACTATGACTTAAATGTCATTGTAGTTTTGGATCTAGATTTAGTTTCTTTTTGGAGGGAATCTGAATTCAAAATTAAAGCAAAGGATGTGAAAGGCCTACCACAGCTGAGGGGGAAGCTGAAATATTTATTTTTAGGGATTGTAGTTCACACTATGGAGCCAATTGCATTGTGTAAAATCAATAAATAACGGCCCCTCCATTACAGATGTCTGGATATTGATGTGCATGAAATTTTTAGTTCCTTTCCACATACTTTATTGATGACACAGTGAGTGAGAGGAGCTGATTGTTCCTGTTTGCACTCAATTCAATTGTTTGCTTTGGGACATGGACATTTTGCTGGTATAATGATTATGCCAATAAATCTCAAAGCAAACAAATGAATTATTTATTGTTTGTCTGCATCAAACTGAAACTGGAGGGGAAAACACACTTCTGGCTAGTTCATCTACTTGCCCACAATCTATAACTAATAATATAATTTTCAAATCTGGCTGCAGGGGAAACCTAACCTCGATTTTTGTCAGTAGATCTTGCAGCTCTCCTGATTCGTTCATGCCAAGTATTTTCTCAGCACCCTGCAAAACAAGTTGCAAACCATCAGACGCGCATGAGACCGATGCCTGGAGCTGCTACAAAGCAGTACGCGGGACTGACCCCAAAGTAGTGTCCGTCAATGAACACGACTGGCAGCGAGGGGGCTTCGCCGACACGTCTGCACCGCTCCTCCAGCTCCTTCCCGTACTCGCTGTCCAGAGCGATGTTCTTCTCCACAAACTTCACCCTGTGGTTTTGGAAGATCTTCCTGACCAGCTCACAGCGCTCAAAAGTGGTCCTCACCACACGGAAACTCGTGGTGTAGATCACTATGCGTCCAAACTCGAGAGGTAAATGCACCTGAGGAAAGTCGAAAATGAAACGTGAGAATGTTGCATCATGAGTAAAGTTGAAACTTTGCTCCTTGGCTGTACTGCACTATGGATTGTGTTACTGTTGTCCCCCCCCCAGCTAATTAAAATACAAGTAAACATGTTTGTTTGTTTTTTCGCCTTTAGCACTGAGTTCATTCATCGAGAGTTGTTTTAGATATTGAGACATTTTTTAAAGAGGGAACCAAATTATGCGTTTAATATCTGGAGAATTCAATATCACATCAAAAACTAACTGAGAAACTTGAACCCATAAAAGGCAGGCTTTTATAACCCAGAGAAACGATCAAAATTAAAGAATTGTAAACAGTGTGTGTTTATCTGAACATTAAACACCCTTCAGAAATAAAATGCTTCCTTTGCTGTCCTGAATCTAGTCATGATTGCTGCTTTAGGTTATTTAGGACTGATGAAATTATTTTTGATTGACCTGAAGAGTGAAATAAAAGCTTTTTTTGGAGAATTGTTTTTAACCTTATTAAAAACTCAGAACTCCATAGCTGTGTCTCAAATACATGCATAAGTTGTGAATCAACCAGTCAGAGGCTTATAAAGCTGTAACATCATCGTCTGGCTTTATCTATTTGTTAAAAGGTATATAATAAGCTTCATATCAGTAAGTTTTTGAATTAAAAATAAGTAAATAAAAATGCTCTAAACAAATCTCCTACTCATTATATCACAGTATAAATGCACCTCATTCCAACACAGCAGCATGTCAAATCCGTACACTCTTCACCTCCACTGTCACCTTCATTAAATCCTGGTCCTGCAGCAGAAGGAAGTCCAGGTTTGCCTAATTTACATAGAAAAACTCCCTCAACTTCTGTCAAAGATCTTTAGAGTTCATCTCCTTTTCTCCTTGTCAGCAGATGGGGTAAATAACTTCTAACTGGATCTCAAGCAGCTTGTGTTCTGTTACTTTGTGATCTTGATTTCCAAAATGAAATACAATATTTAATTTCATCCCCAAAGAAAACTTGAGCAAATGTGTAGTTCTTTCCCTCCTTAGCACAGTAAAACACTTATGACATTGGGTTTGGTTAAAACTGCAGTATATAACTTATTTTTTTTAAATATATGTTTTTGACATATTTGTTATAATTATCATTATGTGGTAATAAGACATATAATCTGTGGGGGGAAAATGAGCTCCTCTGGTGATCACCAATACTAACTCCAGAAATAGGCCACTTAATTAAAATCAACCAATCAGACTCAGGAGGAGGGTCTTACCACTATCAATCATACTAGTGTATGCGCCCATTGCATCCTGCCCCGTGTTCTCTGCAACGCTGCAGCTGGTTCATCAAAACACAGGCTGCCATTTCTGCTTAGCCTAGTTAGCATAGCCACTGATGTGGAGGATAAATGGTTTTCCTGGAGCAGCAAGTTGTTTCTCTGCCGTTAGCACATTTAGCCATGTGTACACGAGGATGATTGACAGACCTTCCTTCTGGCTCTGATTGGTTGTTTTTGACCGGGAGCTGTGTATTTCATCAGACATCTTCACAACATGGTGACAGTTTTTAAAAAATGTTTAAAAATCAGCAGCTTTAACTCAAAAAATGTAGTGGTTTTAGCCCTTGGGATGGCTTTAATTCAATGTCATCTCAAAATTGTTACATAAGAATGCATGGACACAACTCGCAGCTTCTTTAACAACATGGTTTACCTTCCTTGTGCAGGAAGTGAAGGACTTTCAGCTTGCCAGCTGTACTTTCAACAGACTTTGACAGATGACAGATGTGTAGACTGTAAAAAGAGCTTCTTTATGCAGATTAGTTTATTTGTGTAATGAAATGTTTCATACTTATGAAAAATGTAATTATTGGAATTTAATAGTTGTTTAAATCTGACCCTGTTTGTGCCCTTAAAAACATTTACAAGTTAGTTAGTTTAACAAAATTAATTGAATGCCAT